GGCCAAAAAAGGAAAATCACCAAGTCTATAAGGTACAATTTCTCTTAAAAAAATTCACCTTTCTATAAAAATAAAAGACCCTTAAACGGTAAATACAGTTTTCCATTCAGGATGCTCATAGGCTTCATGTAGTGACAACCTCGTAATTTCTAGTATAGACCATTGGATAAGGACTCTAAATAAAATGGCATATCATTTTAAATGTAATTTTTTGCCTGTTTTAACAACAGCATTTTTCCATTATTTAATCTGTGTCCAGGAAACAAAAAGTAGCCTATACTAATGAAAATCAGCTCAAATCCCTTTGCTTTTTCAGTTCAGGTTGAGGTAAGGTTGTACAGAAGGATTTAGTTAGTTCTATTTCCTGAAGTTTAGCTTATGATGAAATATTACAAGAGCACGGAGATCCTTTCCTCCTTCCCTTCTTCCTTTCCTTCCTCCCTCTCTTCTTTCTTTCTTTCCACTCATCCACTCTTCTATATATCTATCCATCCATCTAGCCATCCATCCACCCATCTATGTATGTACACGTGTGTATTTATCTATATCACCTATATAATTTTAAATAACAGTAGACCATATCCTCCATGAACCCAAAGATATGCCTAATCATCCCTATTAAGTTTTAATAAATATGAATTTATTTATCTGTGAAATAGAATCCTTTATTCAAAGGTTGTATTAGATTTAAGTGATGTTCTAGCACATGGCTTATGATTGCTTGAAATTAATAAACCCTGGCCTCCTTGTATGAAGAGGTACCTACATACACTTATGAATCCTTTGTGAGACCCTAAGGCACAGGTGACAGGTGTGTGCACTCAGGTGTACAGAGAGCAAGACAATTAATATTATGGCATTTTATATGGGTTTCTATTAAGTTGAGCTATATGGAATTGCCAAGATTCCACCATTTTTGTCACACAAAAATAGCAATTTAATACAGCCGATACTGTGCAATTTAGTACAGTCTAATATGTTGTTGGCAGTAAAAATTTAAGGTCTCAAAAAACAAACAAAAAAGGTATAAATTAAAACAAAATTCTGTTGCTTTTGGTCCCTTTTGTTCAGTCTAGAGACACCTGTATGGCCTGGTGTTACAATTATATGTCAAAAGCTTCTTGGCATTTGGGGATCTTTAAAAGAAACGCATATTTTATGTGAAAGGAGAAATGGCCCCTGGTAACTATCAGTGCAATCAGATTGTGATGAAATTTCAGAGTGAAATACTCTGTATTGCTTTCTTCTCTAGCTGGTCTATACCTAGCTACTTTCTGCTCTCATGTAGAGGGACGTTTCCATGCACTGGTCATTAGGGAATGTTAAAGTGTTAGCAAGCAGGAAAAGCATGACAAATGTCTGTCTTTTTGGCGAGATAACATTTTCTTCAAAGCTATGTACACATCACACATATTTTCCCAAATATTTGTGGCACAATTCATTGCACAGGGAATCCTCCCCCTTCCCACCTCCCAGTTTGGCTGCTGAAAGATGCAACAACGACCAAGTCATAATACACAAAGAAAACAAGAGCCAGTCCATAAAGAGAAGCCTGCCCCCAGGCTTAATTCAAGCAAGCCATTCATCAAGCTGATGTGATGGACCTGTCCCATCCAGAACATACCACAGACACATCAGCAACACCAAGTGGCATGCAATGACCAGATGACCAAAAGGCCCCACCGCCATGCTTTGATTGGTTCAAGCTCAGAAAACAATCTCCTTTGAGAGTTCAGACAGTTGGCTTTCCATCAATCAATGTGAGATTAACAATAAAGATCTGGTGAGGTCAAGTGCTTACCAAATGTTTCCTAAACGCCAGAAAAAGATGCTCACCTATCCCCAATTAAATTTGTCAATGAGACTATAAAATTACCCAGTCCAGTCAGGTCTTTTTCTTTTGGGGAAATCTCTGCCCACGCCAGATGGTCTTCATTCGGGAGGTCAACATTCAGAGATTCTCAGGTTGCTCCGAGATAATCAGCGTGTGATCATTGAACCAAGAAGATGATGGGCAGGAAGTTTCAAGGTGCCCATTAAGGACCTTCTGGACAGTTCTGAGGTTACTGGAGTTCAATATTTTGCAAAAGTCTCTGAATCTTTAATTTGATGAGGGCTTAATTTGTGCTGATAAAAGGTAAAATTCTACTAACTGGGGACATCAAACTTCCTTTGCTTTCAAGACGTCTGAAGAGTGAATCTCATGATTACAGGGAAAGTTTGTTGCAGTTTCTCTTTTGATCAAATTGACAACCAGTGAGCATTACCCAAAACATTCTCAGTTCCTGCCAATTTTACTTCCTATTCTGAAGAAGTTTCTTTTTGTGAAGAAGTTTTTCTCTTTGTCATCCTGCCTGTCTTCTAGACAAGAGGAACTAAGAGTCTATCACTACTGCTACTATGCTGTGATGGTATAAAAATAATTGCTTATACGATTGCTATTGCTGAGATAAATTCTAGGTACTAAGCATCTTTCTTCTAGACTCAAAAGCCGTTCTGATCATTTCACATTTTCCCCAAAATATATGTCTTCTATAAAATGGCCTTCCTTCTCTGTATCTGCTTATTAAGACTAAAAGGAAGAACCACCATTTAATAGAGACACTTTAAAAAATCAAACCAAAAATATCATCTCAAAGACTGTTTTCTGGTAATTTACCTATTACTGGATTTACCGTCAATGAATAATTGCATATGTGGCTGGTATCTTGCTTATAATAAAGTTAAATAGGAACGGTAATCAATTTCCACAGCAACCGAGAGGACCTAATGTGCAAATTTCTCTAATGAACAACAAGAGGCCAATTACATGGACAAGAGTATAGTTAGTTGGTTTCTTCAACTGAAACGCTTACACTAAAGTGGGAATTGCAGAGTTATTAAAGATTTACCAATCCAAAAATGAGGACAATCTTTCAGTAGGACATGTTGCCAATGAGAAACCTCAATAATATTAAAATAACAGATTTTATACATATATTTGCACATATGGTGTTCCAAAATGCAGAGAATTTTAACTTAATTTTTAGATGAAGGCAAGTAGAGATGGCTAGATTCTCAAGCAATTCTATCGAAGACTAAACATTGTTTATTTTTTTTTCTGAATGTCTAGATCAGTCTTATTGAAGAAGGCAATTTAAATTATATCTTTGTAATTAACCTTTTTTCAACTTGGGGATAGATGCACTTATACTGAAAAGCAAGATAAATATTCAAAGAAATAAATCCGTTTAAGACTCTCATAATTATACAGCAGACTAAAGTTACTATGATTATAATTATATATAAAGTGGGTGTTTGAGAATTTAGCATCCAGAGATATTTTCATAAAAATAATTAAGGGTTGTAGCTGAACCACGTTACAATTGAGACTGTGTGAATCTTCAGTGTGCAGAATTTAATAACATTAAGCCTTTTCCTTTATAAAGTGATCTTAAGTATTTCAAGATTGCCATCGTTTTTATTAGCCTTATTGACCCTATTTTCCTAATCCATTGTCAAAGTGTATTAAAGATAACAACCTCCATGAAACATATTTTGCATCTTGGCAACCGATTACTGGGTAACTGGATAATTTATGTATTTAGAACTGTGTCTCGACAACTGTTTTGGGTTTCTCTGAAGGCCCCCTACAGCCTTGAGAACTTGTTATGGCTGTTAATAAATAAAGAGTAATAATAAAATACGTGCATTTTACCAGAGAGCAGATCTCAATTCTATCTTGCCAAAGAGCCACTTGTTACAAGTCTATGCATGGGGTTTTCAAAGTGCAGCTTTGGGGGCTCAGGGATTTATTTTGCTTTATTATATCTCAAAAGAATTCCGTAGCTACCGCGAGCTAACCACACACCTTGTGAGAAATGGGATGGAAGTGCAGAGGAAGCACACCACAGCAAACCCAGGGAGGAACCAGATCACAACAGGCCAGGAAGGAGAACCAGTGGCTACTGCGGACACTTTCCATTCAAAAGTCAAAGACATCCGCCTGCTTACCTGTCTGGCCCAGCATGCCTCAGCCACACATGCAAATTGTTATCATTATTGTTTTATTCATGAAACATATTTTTAAATTAAAGGAGTCATTACCAAAAATAAGCACCCTCAATGACATTTCTGCATGCAGAGCATCGGAACATTCACATTTATGTCCTCAGAAAACAGAGCCAAGGAGTTGCATTCAATACGGAAACATACACTTTTCGTTTTTCAAGGCAACGATACAGAAATAGCTATGGCTTGCCATTTCAGGAACCAACTCATCTGTGAAGCCTGGGGACCCCCACACCCTCACCCCATCCATCCATTCCGACTGCTGCCTTTCTCCAACGCACTTCTGCCCTCCTACTGCCAGTCTTAACATGTGGTGTGCATCACAAATACAAGTTGACTTATGTTCGTAGGATTGGACACTGGGTGTTGCCAAAAAGAATGAATCTCCTCATGAATGCCAGCTACGCTCCCCCATTCCTTTATTTTGAATTTAAAAATGCAATGGAGAGAATGCTTGACTTAGTCTAAAAAGTTGTAAAAAGGGAAATCGGGTGTTTGAAATTGAGGCAAACCTGTAGGATCATCTTGTTTTTCTTCCTATGAGTTAGATGGAAACATGGTCTTACATGGAAGACCTCGTACAGGGGTTATGTGAGAAAGAGTGTGTGTGTGTGTGTGTGTGTGTGTGTGTGTGTGTGTGTGTTGCACGTGTGCGCACATGTGTGCAAGGTGTGTTGTCACAGGAATCAAGAGATCTGAACAACAACTGCACAGGGACAAAATATAGCATTTTCTGTGTGCCTTAGCAGAGAGGGGGAGTAGTTTAGAAGGAACTGGGCTTAAGCGTTTGCCCTACGTGGCCTTGTGTTCACCTTCACTATGGGACCTCACTTTGGGGTGCTGCCTCCCCAGCATTCATGCATTTCCACCAAGACTGGACGAGAATCTCCTTTCCCACCAACTAAGTTAATTGCCAAGTAGTTGTCAAGCAGGAGAAGGAAGACCCTTACCTGTCACTGTAGGCGGCAGCAGTGGCAGGGGTCGGCTGGGCGTAGCGATATGCAGCATATCCACCCTACAACGCAAGGAGAAATGTGACTTAGGGATGCAGCCCAGCCCGACCCCAGGACACCCAGTGGCGAGACCACACCAGAGCAGCAGTGACCCAAGTCTACCAATCTAAAGTTAAGGTTAATGAAAGCTTAGCACCGAAGTGAAAGTACAAAACACACTGAAGAAAGACGGGGTGGAATACCCACCCCAGCTGGATGTTAAAGGTTAGCGGTCATAGCATATCCCAAGGGGAGAGAACCCAGACGCCCTTGGAAAGAAATGTACCTACATGTTAATGTGATTGTCTTGGGAAGATCAAAGGGTATTATTTAAACACTTTTTATACTTTGCTGAACTTTCCAGATTTTCAAAATTGATTCTGCTTTACCTTTATTTATTAGATATTAACTTAATTTTATTCACGTCATCCTTGATTATTCTTGTAAAATAATCAAGTGAAAGCTCTCCTGTCTTACTTTTATATTTGTGAAAAAATCAGATAACCCCTTGATTGAAAGTTTATTAGTAATCTCTTACCTATGCAGTCGTCTAACCACTAGTGTTATGGAAGAAGACTGTCTTTAGCTTTCTAACTGTTACATAATTATTACAAAAATGAATGGTGCACATTTCTTAAAAATTCTTTTTGGCTAACAATAACACATGGCTCTGTATCACACTGGTTCAGATGGGGAATTTGTTTGGTGTGGAAAAATATAATAAAGTCTTTTAATTCGTAAATAAAATCATTAAGAGAGAAAAAAATCTGAAAAGAAAAATAATTAACATTTAGTTGCATGTACCAGTAATTGCAATTGTTCAATTAAGCAAAGAGGACGAGCAAATGGGCATATTCAAAAGGAACTGTGTTCAGTGGAGCATTGATTATCAAACTGCGAAAATAACAGAGCTCCTCGCTCAACAGACCACAGCGATACATCAGCTGCTGTGGAATGATCTCAGCACAATGAACAAACAGGATCCAGTTTCCACCGACAACACGGGGACTATTCAGGTTCTAATTAGAATACATAAGTCCCATAGTCCTCTGAAGGAAGGATTCTCACCATCACCATAAAGGGGCAACTCAGTACAGAATAGCATGTCAGAAGGTACCTGACAGCAAAACCATGAGTTGCATTTGGCCTCATCAATGGTGGAAACTAGTAGGATAGGAAATAGGTGAAGCAAGAAATCTGCAATAAGCATCTTTCAAAGTACAGGTAGAGGGTCTTCATAATTTATCTCCACTGCCTTCTAGCCTCAGCTAACTTTCAGAATTAATCTGCTATGAGTTCAAGAAACAGAATGATGGACAGGGGAGAGACTGGGTCACCAAGTTGCTGGAGTCATTCTTTGATTCTGTTTGTCCATCTTCTTGGCTTTCCTGATGCATACAGGAAGATATAGGTGTGCATATTAAACTTATTGAGGTAGGGAGGAGACAGAATGGCTAGCTGACAGGTAGGAGGGATCAGCTGCAACTGGCTGAAAGCTTTGAAGGGGAGAAAAAGTGTGTGTGTGCATTTTTTTCTCTCCCAGAACAACAACAAAAAAGGTATTAGCATCAAGTGCTATGTGGGTCTTGATTTGGTGACTCTGAATTTGGTCCCAGCAAAGATTTCTAGCAATGCCCTATTTGCAAACCCTCTGGGTTTGAACTTTGCTTATCTCCCCCACCTTCTGCAGTAGTTTCAGGCAAAGAAAGAAGGTAGCAAGCTTGAGAGATTGGAAGAATTGCTTGCTGCATTGCTAACAGAAAATAACTAAAATGAACCTCACTGACTACTAGGTTGATATTTATGGTAGGAACATCAAATGCAGGTGTGTACATGAGGGTCCCTCTGCCCAACAGATGCGGTCATCCATGAAGCTTTGGGAATGACCTCCACTCTCTATATTTGCACATGAATTGGCCATTTAGAAAAAATAACTGTGTATTTCTATATAAGACAGGAACAAGTGGTCAATGCCTTTGCCTTTGTTATTTAGGAATTTGTTTAAAACTATTCCCAGTTCAAGAGTGTCCATATCAGTTTTCTAAAGTCTCTGCAGCCAGTGGAGATATTGCCCAACACAGTAGCCACTTGTCGTAAGTGGCTACTATTGAACACTTGAAATGTGGTTAGTGCAACAAATTGAATTTGCAATTTGCTTATGTTTACTTCACTTGAATTTAAATGTAAGTAGCCACATGGGGCTGGCGGCTACAGCATCAGACAGTAAAAATCTAAGTGATCCTTGACATTCATATTAATAATTGGGGAAAAAGGACTAGATAGCTTCCTACCTCCAACTCTATCGATCGCATAGTCTTCCCTTGCTATTTTTCTTCTGTATGAAATCCACATCAGGGAAATAACAGAGTTGTGTATTAGCTCAGTGTATGTGTGCATACACTGTAAAATACAAATTGCTTTAATTGGTTTTTCTAACAGGTGACTCTAATCAATTATATTGCTCCATATTTCACAGCTCTCTGGCCATGGCCAGAACTTCTGCAAGAAAAAGGGATTACTCACTTTCACTTGCTGTCCCCAGACCATGTTCATGTTGAACCTGATCCTCCTAGACCTTATGACAAATATGCATCATTGACAATTAGATTTTTCCCACCATGAAACCAAAGGAAAAAGGGATGGCAAGCACCCCATAATTCCACACTCCCTCTCCGTAAAACATAATCATTCTGTTCATGTTGGGCAGCAAAATATCAATGTGGCTTCATATAAAAATAAATTTTAAATGGCCATTATGGAAGCCCCCATCCCTTGCCACTACTAGCAAACACCAAATGCAGCCATCTAAGATACCCACTCACATGGACCGAGAAGTTTGCATTGCCAGCAAAACCTCTGGAGGTCCCTTGGGATAGTACTTATTAAGGAACTCCAGCGATGCTCCAATAAAGCAATTTCAAAGCTGTGCTTGTGGGATATTAACAGTGGCAGGGAAAGGGAAGTTTCCATGACCAAATAGGTTTGGGAGAAGTTGAGTTAAACAACATAAAACTGGTGACTTCATTTGTGGGGCTTCTTGAAACAATACTGATGAACGCTGTGGATCTCCAAGGCATCTCAAAGCCGTTTGACAATAGAAATCAAAGTTCTCACTTTAGAGCATACTTTTGGAAAAAGATGTTCTAGTAGCCAAATTGTGAATTAGTTAGGGGAAGTGAGATCTCTGTGTGCTGGTGGGGAGACACAGGCACAGGCAGGATTGGAATATGCAGTTGTGTGTTTCTCCCTCCAGCTCAAGTGCATACGAAAGTAGCAACGGGCTTCACCCCAGAGAGAGGCTTCCTCCCTTCTGAGAATATCTAGGGGTCTGGTCTCACTTCGTGGAAAACATTTTTATTGGTATACATATAACTCAGACTTTATTTACTATAATAACATTTACAAGAACATCTTCAAAATGAAAACTGTAAATATAAATCGTGACTCTGTAATTTAGCTGCATTATACATCCAGCTATTTTTGAAGGACGGCAATAGACGTCCAGTTTTCTTGAAATGTGACAGTAAAAGTTGATCTAAGGAATTTTAACTATTCTTCCCTCTTCTAGGTCAAAATATTCCCTTTTCATATTCAGTTTTTAATTGAATCTTTTATTTTATTCAACAATGTTAATGTTGGTTATAAACCAAATGCAGCCCGCTAGCTATACTCCAACAGATGTGCTTTTTTCTTCCTACAAATTCATTCATTTGGGGGTTGCTTCAACAGTGAGAAATGGGTTTGAAAGCTGTTGCAAGAGGTAAAAATAAATTTCTGACCAGCTCCAGTAAAATCAGGGAGGGTTATGTCAGCTATGCTGACCTTCAAAGCTGGATATATAAGAGATTTGGATTTAACCATTCCAGTTGACTCCAGGAACCTAATAAAAAATTACCCAGACAATTGGTTCAATGAGAACCTTTAATTCTTTTCACTGAATTTATATGGATTGAATCTACATACATTTTAAGTCAAGAAATGCATATCCAAGCTAGACCTCCCTTTTGATACACTTACAATCTACCCAAGCTCATGGCTATGGCCAACGTCAGTCGTGGAAACAGCCTTGATATTTGTCCACTCCGATCAGTGGACACACAAGATACGGGAATGACCATCTCTATCCTAGAAGATTTCATATTAAAACTGGAAAATTCAGTGAAGTCTTTCTCCCTTCTATGTTAGAGAACATTTCCCTTCCCCAGAATTATCTTGTTAGTAAGGATTTCACAGCAAACCCACAATCATAGTGACGTGTTTTTCCACCAGTCGAGATTTCATACCTGTAGCAACTTATTGCCATACACAGGCTCTTGATACACTACTCTATAAGGAAACAGAAATGTAATGTTTTCAATGCAAAAATGAAATAAATAAAAGAAAATGCATAAGTCAGACAGAAACGCCAAAGCCATTCATTTACAAGTTTGCTTCTTTCACTTCACTAAGGCTTGGGAGGGACCCACCAAACCTAAAGGGGAACCTGGTCATTGCCAGACACTTTCAGCTGTAAATCTTCAAAGAAAGGCAGAGACGGGGATCGAATTACACTAATTTTATTGGTGTTATAACTTGTGTTGATTTTTAAAGAAGTAAAAAGGATAATTTCAACATACGTAACCTAAACATCTGTAACCCCATAATATGCTGAAATAAAAAAAAAAAGGATAATTTCATGGCTTCTTACCTTTCAAAGAATATTTCAATGGTTAACTATTATGAATTTGTCTCTTTATCTCGTGATTGGAATTCTCTGGAATACCTGAGGATTTAACTTAGGTGCCTAATTACTGTGGTAGTTAAGACAACAGCACAGCAGTGACCAGAACCGCACTGACACCTTTACTTGTGAAATTAATCTCAACTAACAGCCCAGAGAGCAAAATTGCATTTCACCAATTCGTGAATTA